CTCAATAATAGTCAAGAGTGAAATCTTGTCACCTCCTCGGGCCTTATTGCTTCAGCATAGCATAGCATAGCATAGCATAGCATAGCAGTCAAACTAGTTAAATCTACATCCATTGATGGAAAATGATCTGGCGAGTTTAATAAGTGAGAATTATCTTATGTCTTGGTGAAATATTCATAAGCTCGCATTAATTATTATTTTGATGGAAACCCGAATTTTGCTTTCAAAAGTTTGGGGTCACTTAGAAATGTCCTTGTTTTCGAAAAAAAAAAATTAATTGTCCATTTAAAATAACATCAAATTGATCAGAAATACAGTGTAGACATTTTTAATCTTGTAAATGGCTATTGTAGCTGGAAACGGCAGATTTTTTTATGGAATATCTACATAGGCGTACAGAGGCCCATTATCAGCAACCATCAGTCCTGTGTTCCAATGGCACGTTGTGTTTGCTAATCCAAGTTTATCATTTTAAAAGGCTAATTGATCATTAGAAAACCCTTTTGCAATTATGTTAGCACAGCTGAAAACTGTTGTGCTGATTTTAAAGAAGCAATAAAAGTATGAAAATGTATGCACTCACTAACTGTAAGTCGCTCTGGATAAGAGCGTCTGCTAAATGACTAAAATGTAAAACATTTTAATAAAATTGGCCTTCTTGAGACTAGTTGAGTATCTGGAGCATCAGCAATTGTGGGTTCGATTACAGGCTCAAAATGGGCAGAAACAAATAACTTTTCTTCTGAAACTTGTCAGTCTATTCTTGTTCTGAGAAATGAAGGCTATTCCATGCGAGAAATTGCCAAGAAACTGAAGATCTCGTACAACGCTGTGTACTACTCTCTTCACAGAACAGAGCAAACTGGCTCTAATCAGAATAGAAAGAGGAGTGGGACGCCCCGGTGCACAACTGAGCAAGAGGACAAATACACTAGTGTCTAGTTTGAGAAACAGACGCCTCACAGGTCCTCAACTGGCAGCTTCATTAAATAGTACCCGCAAAACATCAGTCTCAACGTCAACAGTGAAGAGGCGACTCCGGGATGCTGACCTTCTAGGCAGAGTTGCAAAGAAAAAGCCAAATCTCAGACTGGCCAATAAAAAGTAAAGATTAAGATGGGCAGTCTGAGATATGGCTTTTACTTTGCAACTCTGCCTAGAAGGTCAGCATCCCGGAGTCGCCAGTTGGGGACATGTGAGGTATCTGTTTCTCAAACTAGACACTCTAATGTATTTGTCCTCTTGCTCAGTTGTGCACCAGGGCCTCCCACTCCTCTTTCTATTCTGGTTAGAGCCAGTTTGCTCTGTTCTGTGAAGGGAGTAGGACACAGCGTTGTATGAGATCTTCAGTTTCTTGGCAATTTCTCGCATGGAATAGCCTTCATTACTCAGAACAAGAATAGACTGACGAGTTTCAGAAGAAAGTTATTTGTTTTTGGCCATTTTGAGCCTGTAATTGAACCCACAATTGCTGACGCTCCAGATACTCAACTAGTCTCAAGAAGGCCAGTTGTCTTGCTTCTTTAATCAGCACAACAGTTTTCAGCTGTGCTAACATAATTGCCAAAGGGCTATAGGCTATGCAAGCCTCTCTGCAATAGGCCATTCCTCTTCTCATGAGGAATAGGCCTAATAGCCTATTCAGGGAAAGAAGCAGGCTTACTTTTGCTAATTGTTGAATGTTAAACAGGCCTACAGCATAGAAAATGCATGTTGAGGAGAGAAAGTGCATTGGTGTGATCACTTTTGGCAGGTTATGATAACATTGTTGCACTGATGCATTGCAAATAGTTGCACAGGACAGACAGAGAGATGAGCACAGTGAAAAAGACGACCCAAAGGAATTGACAACCATTAGAAAAACGGAAATCATTTGCAAACCACTTGAGCAACGAGGCAATGACATGCTGTAAAAGATGTGCAGGCTTAAGTGTTGTTGAATTGCTACTTTTAAAAATGAGTTACTATATTATTTTCATTAGGCCTACATGTAGCCTACATTGAAGTATTATTTGCAGTTGTCACCAGGGACGGCCTGTTCAATAGGGCGATATGGGCGACGCACTGCCAAACGGGAAAAGGAAGGGATTTTTTTTCTAATCAATTATATCACGGCAACAGTAGTTATCAGTGTTGTAATCTATACGTCTGATCTGCCACAGTGCCACACTGCCACTAAATGTCGAATCAGGCTAAAGTCGTGCTTCAAATGGCTCCACCCCCTTTTGGGGCGATTTCAGTCAGATTGAAAATCGCCCAGAACTTCTGTCATAGACTCCCATGTAAAATCTATTTTTTTCAAATTTCAGAGCCTTCAATACAATCTCAATGGGTGTCTGTGGGCTTGCACTTACGCGCTTTCGTCATACGTTACGTAACCATGAACGTAACTGAGAAAAGAGTGGATTGTTTGAAAGAAGTTCCTTTTTGTCGGCGAACAAATGAAGATAAATTGGCAACGAAACAATTAGGACCTCCCAGACCAAATTTAATAATTCAACAGGTTTCTACTAAAGGCGGAAAGTCCTACACCCGAGGATTTTCCAAAAATTGGTACGAACGAAAAAAGACATTGCCACTCACTCAACTGGATGACGAGGGATACAGGCTAGCTGTCCGCCGCCACAACGATGAGGTTAGTGTTGATAATCACAAGTTTACTGGATGTGGATATGGTGTAATAAAGGCAGTTTATTCAGAGGTAAATATATCTGGAATCGCGTTCACGGACCCGTTCGTCAAACTCTTAGGGAGCTATAAATTAAGCCCCATTACTTACCATATCAGATAAGAGAAATTGCTGCAGCTACATATATTTTACATCCTGGCCCTACATAGTTCACTATTTGCATCACTTACCAAAATATTACATGTGGTCATATATGCTTGGAAAGTGGAGATGCCATAGAACGTCAAAAAAGTAAACATTGCTGGAGACACATTGCCGTTTTGGAGAAGACATCGCGTTTGCTAGCGAAGAGATTTGTTGTGGCAAATGAACTTGGGCTGGGAATTGCCAGGAACCTCACGATAAGATATATGCATCAGCATTGCGAGTCTCATGATTCTATACGTATTGCGATTCGATACTGTGATTTTATTGCGCACCATATGTCTGTTGCAGAGGGATCAGAAAGCCATGAGAACGAGTTTTGATCAGTCATGGAAATAAAAGTGCTGAAAACAAATTGGCTCCCAATGTGAAAAGATTGAGAACAAGCTATGAAGGAACAATAATGGTGTTTTGGTGCAGGTACAGCCAACTAGCGCTAAAATATTGCGATATTGTCAATACAGTATATCGTAAAGTATCACTATGTAACTCGATTTCTTTCACCCCAATCCCTCAAATTAACGGTAAATAACTGAATTGTTTGCCCCACATTTAGCTAAGATGATTAGCTAGCCAGCTAAAATGTTTTAGTTAGTTAGCAGTCGCATCTACAATAGTTTACTGTCAATAACATGTCTCCAAAAATGACGTGGTGTCTCCAATTGTGTTGACATTTTACAATTGCAATGCGCATCCATGAGTATCCACTTTCTGTAGCTCAGCTGGTAGAGCATGGTGCTTGTAACGCCAAGGTAGTGGGTTCGATCCCCGGGACCACCCATACACAAAAATGTATGCACGCATGACTGTAAGTCGCTTTGGATAAAAGCGTCTGCTAAATGGCATATTATTATTATTATTATTATTATTATTATTATTATCTGAAGAGAGCCCCGAAACATTGTGTGCAGACATTTTATGCAATAAATGAAGTAGGTTCAATCTAGTAGTTCTGATCTTCTGATTGGTCCTGATGAGTTGGGCGAGGTCCCCTGCAGGCTACTGTCACTGTTGCATTGGCTCTGAGTCGGGTTCTCTGTCTTCAAATGTTCAGCCTAAGAGAGGGGATTTTTGTGTGTGTGTGTGTGTGTGTGTTTAACAGTGATGATGTGTGTGTGTGTGTGTGTGTTTAACAGTGATGATGTGTGTGTGTGTGTGTGTGTTTGTGTGTGTGTGTGTCCTCAGAGCAAGAACTCGTGAGTTGGAAGAACTGAGAGGCCTATGGCGTGGGTGTTGTCCTTGGCCACCTGCTGACAAGGCTGACAAGATAGGACCCTTTTGTCCATTGTTATTGGATAGGAACAGAACTTATAACCAGCTCCTGACCTAAATAGATCTTAGCACAACATTTTACTCAACATATCATATTCCATATTCACTATAACAAATATATTTACTACGACATTAGCAAGAACCGCCACATCCTCAGCCGGCTAATCCAGTGTGTGAAGTTTTGCGGAGTGTTTGAGTTAGCTTTGCGAGGCAAAGATGAAACTGAGGGCTCCACCAACCCTGGTAAGCCAACACTTTTGAGATCAGTCAATAAATGCTTCTGGTATTGACTTATATGCTGCCCCTGTCTTCATGTTGTTGCTGGACATATCTTTTTTTAAATGTGTGTAGGTCACCTAAATCATCAGAAAAATTGCCCCTCCTGAGAATTTTTTCAGGAGCCGCAACTGGTTGTCACTATGACAATGAACACACCCTGAAAGCATTGAATGCTCTGAACCAGTATCTGTGCATTAGAGACCTCATGAATTGTCTTGTGTTACCACCTTATTAATAGGCAGCAAGCGGTATGCATTGATCAGTTGATTGACGGGCGTAGGACTGCAGAACGATAAACTGTCAGTGTTCTCTAGTGTGGATGCTCACCAACGTTTTTATAGTTATTGGCTTGGTGGATGGCCCTTAACTCTGACACAACACAACTAACGTTATTATCACAACAGAACTAGCCTACTAGTAGGTCTAGCTAACGTTAGCAAACTTAAATGAAATTAATATAAAATTACATTTATACACTTACACTTGTTTACTTGACTTTTATCATCTATAAATTGAAGATGGAAGATATGCTAACCGGGTCTCTATTATTAACTCCATAGCGATGAAGGCGGACCGGAAGCGTTTGAAGGCGGAGAAAGCAGATCTCGTCAACCAGATGCAGCAGCTCTACGCCACGCTGGAGAGCCGAGAGGAGCAGTTAAGGGACTTCATCCGCAACTACGAACAGCACAGAAAGGTATGACATGTCACACAAACACATACAATGCTGGGCATGCAGCAAAAGGCTTGAGTAGTTAGCTGTAATTAATATACAAAGTACACATCAATCGCACGCTTCATAGACGTTGTGTAATGATTGTCATGAACTTGTTATGTTATTGGGGTAAGTGATTGAAAAGATGAATGAACGTGTCTGATTCCTTACTCGATCTAACACTATTCCTATGGTCTATTGCTCTCCCTTTCTCTTATCTGTCTCTCGCTCTCTCCCCCTACCACTCTCTCCCCTCCCTCTCTCTCCCCCTACCACTCTCTCCCCCTACCACTCTCTCCCCCCCCTCTCTCCCCTCCCTCTCTCCCCCCCCCTTCCACCCCCCTCCCTCGCCTACCACTCTCTCCCCCCTCTCTCCCCTACCACTCTTCTCCCCCTCCCTCTCTTCTCCCCCTCCTCTCTCTCCCCTCCCTCTCTGTGCCCCTTCCTCTCTGTGCCCTCTCCCTCTCTGTGCCCCCCTCCCTCTCTGTGCCCCTCTCCCTCTCTGTGCCCCTCTCCCTCTCTGTGCCCCTCCCTCTCTGTGCCCCTTCCTCTCCTGGCCCCTCCTCTCTGTGCCCCTCTCCCTCCTGCCCCTCATCCCTCCTCATTCTGCCCCTCCCTCTCTGCCCACTCTCTCCTCATCCCTCTCACTGCCCTCTCACTGCCCTCTCTGCCCCTTCACTCTCACTACCCTCCCTCTCACTGCCCCCTCTCTATCCCTCTCACCCCTCCTCTCCCCTCCCCTCTCTCTCTCCCCTCCCTCTCTCTGCCCCTCCACCCCTCTCCTCCCCTCCCTCTCTCCTCCCTCCTCCCCTCCTCTCTCTCCCCCTCCCTCTCTCTGCCCCTCCCTCTCTCTTCCCCTCTCACTGCCCCTCTCTGCCCCCCTCTCTGCCCCTCTCCTTTTAATTTCCTCTATCCCTACACCTCTCCCCTTGTCTCTCTGTCAGGAGAGTGAGGATGCGGTGAAGGTGCTGGCTAAGGAGAAGGACCTGTTGGAGAGGGAGAAGTGGGACCTGCGGCGGCAGACCAAGGAATCCACGGAGCACGCCGGCGCCCTGCACTCCCAACTGGACCTGAAGGAGAACAGGATCAAGGAGCTGGAAGCAGAGTTGGCCATGGTGAGACACACACACACACACTCCTACATACATACACACAGACACGGAACATACACACACACAAAAGCACACAGATACAGAAGTGCACACACACGTTCGAGCCTGTTCAGCAAGCCAGGGTAAGTGGAAACTTAGAGGTTTGTTGCATCTGTGTTGCTAGATCATTACACTCCTTCTACACACCATGAAGAGCAGACCCTTTCCAATGTGTGTGTGTGTGTGTGCCCTCCCTGTCTCCCCCCTCAGATAAGTAACTGTGTGACACAGAAAATGGAATACCGGGTGTTTGATCGCCCCGTTGACAGGGAGCCCTCCCCTAGGGTCATGGCGGTAAGAACGGTCCCCCTGCTCGCCCCTCTTTGTGACCTCTCTCTCGCTCTCTCTCTTGCTCGCTCGCTCGCTCTCTCTCTTGACGCGTGCCCCAATCCCCCTGATATTCTCTCCTGTGTGAAATTATTTCATGGAGTCCTGTATGCACCGGACCTGGGTTCAAACAGTATTTGAAATCTTCCAAATGTTTTTCGCTGTGCTTGATTGAGCTTGCCTTGTGCAACGGAAACCAATGTGCCAACCCCGTCCATCTGGCACTCCAGGCAGGCTCTAGCAATTGAATACTATTTGAACCCAAGTCTGGTATTCAGGTGTATAACTAACCCCCTGGTTGATGCCAATGGTCATATAACCTCCTTAAGGCATGATCCCTAAGTCAATTTGTGGATGATTTGAATGTGCTCAATCTGATTGACCCCTTTCTTGGTTTCATGTAACTCCTGACTGGAAGGATCATCTGGTGTGGTTGTGAGGAAACTGCATTGATTAATTAATTAACTGAGTTCCCCATAAGGGCTCATGGTTTGACCAGGTAGATGGTTGGCACTCTGTCCTGCATGTCTAAGGATTGTGAACGGGTGATTAAGGTGGTGTTGTTGGTAATCCTGGTGACGAGGATGATGATGATGATGATGATGATAAAAGGGTGACAATGATGGTGATGCTATGGGTGGTGATTATGGTGGTGTTAGTGAAGATGACGGGGTGATAATTGTGGCGATAATCATAATAATGTTGTTCGTATCTTGCTGCCTGGCATGACAGTATTATTTCACTGTACAGTACAACATAATGTCACAAAGCATGATGCGCTAGCCAGTTAACTTTAATTCTGAAATAACTTCATATTTCCAAGTTAGGCTGATATTAGCTTAGAAACTACTTAGCAAAAAAATAAAAAATTGACCAAACTATTTCTCAATGTTTCACAAAATGACTGTAGCTGACTAATTTGATCATGCTTTGTGATATACCCAGTTTTATGCTGTTTAGTCCACACAACATGTCGCCCTGTCACCTACAGTAGAACCTGATGAAAACAATCAAATTGGCCATGCTTTTTTGTCCTACCAGATCCAAGATGAGAAGGTTCTAGCTAGTGTGTCCCTCGGTCCTTCGGCTCTTGTTGGATCCAGTTATCCGGGATATCAGGTCCCAGGCTCCCATGACTGTTATGATTATTTATTTACAAGTTAATGACAATTAGATTTTTGCTTTAGCGCCATCTCTACCTGATAGAGCAGATCTAGTCTCACGTGCGGTAGTGAGCCGTCTGATGCGAGAGACTCATTGGGAGACTAGAGCAGACCCAGAAGTTCTGACTGAACGGACGCACATTTGAGTTCCCCAGGCCGGTCTATTTACTTTGTGTTCTAATTTATGCTATGAAATCCTGTGATATCATTGGGGCAGTTCCCCCTCATGGGCTGGCCGCCACTGTTAAATTCTATCTTGCGAAGAGTCATGAATAGCCATCTTGCTGTAGGAAAAGGTCACAAAATAGGCAGTGGTTAATGCTGCATGGGGCTGATGTGTGTGTTTGTGTGTGTGTGTGTGTGTGTGTGTGTGTGTGTGTGTGTGTGTGTTCCTAGGCGAAACAGTCTTTAGTGACCCTGACCAAGGATGTGCCCAAGCGGCACTCTCTGGCCATGCCCACTGAGGTGGTTGTCAACGGCAACAACCAGGAGTGGGTGATGCACGCGGACCTGCCCCTCACCGCAGCCATCCGTCAGAGTCAGCAGACCCTCTACCACGTCCACACAGGCCACCCCACTGACAGACAGGGTAAGACACACACGCACACACTCAGACGCATTCATCCACAGACACAGGGTGACACTGGTGGTGCTGCATTGCAGCGATATGTTCCTGACGTCTTGACGTGTGGTAAAAAAAACGTATCTGTATATTCGTCTGACTTTACAAACCATTGCTTGCTCATAGTTGGTTAAAATCACATGACGCTCACCAGATTATGTCAAAAGTGTTTCCAGCTGATGTCATCAGAAACGCTTATCTTTTTGCCTATAAAACATAGAAACCCATAATTTTCACATATGTTGATGTTGGGGTGGTGTTGGAGATGAATTAGTTTATTTTTATTTTTATTTATATTGACCTTTAACAACCCGTTGACCTGTTTCAAACATGTGTCCATCCCCCGTCTTCTTTCGCCCAGTGGCTGCGGTCAGGGTGAGCCCGTGTCACTCCCGCCAGCCCTCCGTTATCTCAGATGCCTCGGCCATGGAGGGTGACCGCTCATCCACCCCCAGCGACATCAACTCCCCTCGCCACCGGACACACTCCCTCTGCAATGTAAGAGCTGCCCGCCCACCGCCGCATCGCTCCAAGTAATCAACTCCTTCACAACTCTTCTCTACTCCTAATCTCTCCCAACATCTGTAAATAACTCCCATGCTCATTGACAAGACAGCATAAACAAATATTGGACCAGGGCACTCTACTCCACCTCCCCCTCTCTGAAAGCCTGTCCCATGTGCTGTAATTAAGTCAGTTTCACCAGAACAGCCAAACTTAGACTTCACCAAAAAGTGGGTTTTCTTTGGGATAGCTGCCTAATATGCCTACATAGAGTTGCGTTACGAATGAGAGGAATTCAATATTGACCAAAAAGTGGGTTTTCTTTGGGATAGCTGCCTAATATGCCTACATAGTTGCGTTACAAATGAGAGGAATTCAATACTGACCAAAAAGTGGGTTTTCTTTGGGATAGCTGCCTAATATGCCTACATAGTTACGAATGAGTGGAATTCAATATTGAATTATAACAATTGGGCTGACGTGTTGGTTTCTGGCTAGTGTTGGATCATTTCCTATGAAACTGTTATGTTGACGTTATACCAGCCACTTCAACTGTGGTTTTCCCACTTTCTCTTCATTTGTTCATTTCTCTGAATGTGCTGACTATTAGATTACAGACACGTGCCTGGCTAGTTCACTCAGTATCACCTCGTCCTTCTCAGTCATTCTCTCTCTCTATCGCCTTCCCTCACTCACTGTAGCTGTGTCATTTCTCTGTTCTTCTCATCTCTTCATCTCATTATCTCTGATCTCGACCGCCTCTCTCTTCCTGCAGTCACTAGAGGATCTGGAGGACCAGAAGCGTAAGAAGAAGAAAGAGAAGATGGGCCTGGGCTCTCTGTCACGTGTCTTCGCCCGGGGCAAGCAGCGCAAGTCAATGGACCCGGGTCTATTTGATGGTACTTCAACTCCCGATTATTACATAGAGGAAGATGCAGACTGGTGAAAAGGTGGCAGAGAGTCCTACCTGTGTCCCTGAGTGGTGATGCGTACGGATGTTTTCGTGTGTGTTTGGCCGTATGTGTGGGTGTGTGTTTAGCCGTGTGTGTGCGTGTCCATGGTTGGAGGCCATGTGAGAAGCCTGAGGTGCATCTTGCTTCGCTGAAGTGTAAAACATTACAAGCAAATTGCATCTGTATGTACAGTATTGTAAATAGTGGACAGTGTAACCACCCTTAGGGGAGAGTGGGGTATGGTGAGAATTTTTTAAAACATTCAGCATCACTACGTCAAGGGAAATCTAGTATTCTTTCTAACAAAGATATTTACATTTCAGGATGTTGTGTATCCCTGGAAATAATCAGAATTCATGTAAACATAACATAGGTTGTTAAAAAAAAGTGGTCTCTTAGCACAACTTATTCCAGGTATGGGGTAAATTGAGCATAGGAACAGGGTAAGTTGAGCTGCCTTCAAATTTTTGTACTGAATGAAATATTACCACTACCTTTTTAAAACCATGTCTATCTTTATTTCCCAAACACAATTCAACACAATCACTTTTAATCATTTTGAGCATCTTAACGCAGGCTAAACACCTAACAACTTTTTAAAACATTTTTAACATAGGCCCTGTTGTTACCGCATATCCCAGCGATATTGCCTTGAATCACACCTGGGAAGAAAGCACTTCAACTTGCCATTGGCTCAACTTGCCCTTGCTCAAATGGCTAAATTTACCCCAAGCAACTATTTTGACTATATTAACCCACACAGCTACAAGGATGCACTTTCATGCTAGTTTTAGGACCTCATATTGAAGCTTATAGAGACTCCAACTGATGTATAGAAACGTTTTAAAACTCGGTTACATCAGGGTTGTTATTTATTTTTATATATATATATATATATATATATACGTACAGTTGAAGTTGGAAGTTTACATACACTTAGGTTGGAGTCATTAAAATTTGTTTTTCAACCATTCCACTAATCTCTTGTTAACAAACTATAGTTTTGGCAAGTCGGTTAGGACATCTACTTTGTGCATGACACAAGTAATTTTTCCAACAATTGTTTACAGACAGATTATTTCACTTATAATTCACTGTATCACAATTCCAGTGGGTCAGAAGTTTACATACACTAAGTTGACTGTGCCTTTAAACAGCTTGGAAAATTCCAGAAAATGATGCCATGGCTTTAGAAGCTTCTGATCGGCTAATTGTAAAAAGAATTGTAAACCTCCACAAGTCTGGTTCATCCTTGGGAGCAATTTCCAAATGCCTGAAGGTACCACAGTCTCCTAGAGATGAACGTACTTTGGGTCGAAAAGTGCAAATCAATCCCAGAACAACAGCAAATGACCTTGTGAAGATGCTGGAGGAAACAGGTACAAAAGTATCTATATCCACAGCAACTGCACATGGGGACAAAGATCATACTCTGGTCTGATGAAACAAAAATAGAACTGTTTGGCCAGAATGACCATCGTTATGTTTGGAGGAAAAAGGGGATTCCTTGCAAGCCGAAGAACACCATCCCAACCGGGAAGCACAGGGGTGGCAGCATCATGCTGTGGGGGTACTTTGCTGCAGGAGGGACTGGTGCACTTCACAAAACAGATGGCATCATGAGGAAGGAAAGTTATGTGGATATATTGAAGCAACATCTCAAGACATCAGTCAAAAAGTTAGAGCTTGGTCGCAAATGGGACTTCCAAATGGACAATGACCCCAAGCATACTTCCAAAGTTTTGGCAAAATGGCTAAAGGACAACAAAGTCAAGGTATTGGAGTGGCCATCACAAAGCCCTGACCTCAATCCTATATAAAATGTGTGGGCAGAACTGAAAAAGCGTATGCGAGCAAGGAGGCCTACAAACCTGACTCAGTTACACCAGCTCTGTCAGGAGGAATGGGCCAAAATTAACCCAAGCTTATTGTGGGAAGCTTGTGGAAGGCTACTCGAAACGTTTGACCCAAGTTAAACAATTTAAAGGCAATGCTACCAAATACTAATTGAGTGTATGTAAACTTCTGACCCACTGGGAATGTGATGAAAGAAATAAAAGCAGAAATAAATCTACTATTATTCTGACATTTCACATTCTTAAAATAAAATGGTGATCCTAACTGACCTAAGACAGGGAATTTTTACTAGGATTAAATGTCAGAAATTGTGAAAAACTGAGTTTAAATGTATTTGGCTAAGGTGTATGTAAACTTCCGACTTCAACTGTAAATATACACTACATGGCCAAAAGTATGTGGACACCCCTTCAAAATAGTGGATTTGGCTATTTCAGCCACACACGTTGCTGACAGGTGTATAAAACCGAGCACACTGCCATGCAATCTCCATAGACAAACATTGGCAGTAGAATATCCCGTAGTGAAGAGATCAGTGACTTTCAAATTGACACCGTCATAGGATGCCACCTTTCCAAGAAGTCAGTTCTCAAATTTCTGCCCTGCTAGAGCTGCTGAAGCTCACTACCGAGTTCCAAGCTACCTCTGGAAGCAACGTCAGCACAATAAATGTTCATCGGGAGCTTCATGAAATGGGTTTCCATGGCCGAGCAACACAAGCCTATGATCACCACGCGCAATGCTAAGCATCGGCTGGAGTGGTGTAAAGCTCGCCGTCATTGGACTCTGGAACAGTGGAAATGCGTTCTGTGGAGTGATGAATCTGGGTTTGGCGGATGCCAAGAGAACGCTACCTGCCCCAATGCATAGTGCCAACTGTATCGTTTGGTGGAGGAGAAATAATGATCTGATGCTGTTTTTCATGGGTCGGGCTAGGCCCTTTAGTTCCAGTGAAGGGAAATCTTAACTCTACAGCATACAATGACATTCTAAACGATTCTGTGCTTCCAGCTTTATGGCATAAGTTTGAGAAATGCCCCTTTCCTGTTTCAGCATGACAATTGCCCTGCTCACAAAGCGAGGTCAATACAGAAATGGGCCTGCACAGAGCCCTGACCTCAACCCCATCGAACACCTTTGGGATGAATTGGAACACCGACTGCGAGCCAGGCCTAATCGCCCAACATCAGTGCCCGACCTCACGAATGCTCGTGGCTGAATGGAAGCAAGTGACTGCCGCAATATTCCAACATCTAGTGGAAAGCCTTCCCAGAAGAGTGTAGGCTGTCATAGCAGCAATGGGGGAACCAACTTCATAATAATGCCCATGATTTTGAAATGAGATGTTCGACGAGCAGGTGTCCACATACTTTTGGCCATGTAGTGTGTGTGTGTGTGTGTGTATATATACAATATGTATGTATATATGTGTATGTATGTATGTATGTACAATGAGGGGGAAAAAGTATTTGATCCCCTGCTGATTTTGTAAGTTTGTCCACTGACAAAGAAATTCAGTCTATAATTTTAATTTTAAGTCTATAATTTAGTTTATTTGAACAGTGAGAGACAGAATAACAACAAAAAAATCCAGAAAAACGCATGTCAAAAATGTTATAAATTGATTTGCATTTTAATGAGGGAAATAAGTATTTGACCCTCTCTCAATCAGAAAGATTTCTGGCTCCCAGGTGTCTTTTATACAGGTAACGAGCTGAGATTAGGAGCACACTCTTAAATGGAGTGCTCCTAATCTCTGCTTGTTACCTGTATAAAAGACACCTGTCCACAGAAGCAATCAATCAATCAGATTCCATCTCTCCACCATGGCCAAGACCAAAGAGCTCTCCAAGGATGTCAGGGACAAGCACAAGGCTGGAATGGGCTACAAGACCATCACCAAGCAGCTTGGTGAGAAGGTGACAACAGTTGGTGCGATTAATCGCAAATGGAAGAAACACAAAATACATTTCAATCTCCCTCGGCCTGGAGCTCCATGCAAGATCTCACCTCGTGGAGTTGCAATGATCATGAGAACAGTGAGGAATCAGCCCAGAACTACACGGGAGGATCTTGTCAATGATCTCAAGGTAGCTGGGACCATAGTCACCAAGAAAACAATTGGTAACACACTACGCCGTGAAGGACTGAAATCCTACAGCGCCCGCAAGGTCCCCCTGCTCAAGAAAGCACATATACAGGCCCGTCTGAAGTTTGCCAATGAACATCTGAATGATTCAGAGGAGAACTGGGTGAAAGTGTTGTGGTCAGATGAGACCAAAATCGAGCTCTTTGGCATCAACTCAACTCGCCGTGTTTAGAGGAGGAGGAATGCTGCCTATGACCCCAAGAACACCATCCCCACCGTCAAACATGGAGGTGGAAACATTATGCTTTGGGGGTGTTTTTCTGTTAAGGGGACAGGACAACTTCACCGCATCAAAGAACGATGGATGGGGCCATGTACCGTCAAATCAATGCCCTCAGCCAGGGCATTGAACATGGGTCGTGGATGGGTATTCCAGCATGACAATGACCCAAAATACACGGCCAAGGCAACAATGGAGTGGCTCAAGAAGAAGCACATTAAGGTCCTGGAGTGGCCTAGCCAGTCTCCAGACCTTAATTCCATAGAAAATCTGTGGAGGGAGCTGAAGGTTTGAGTTGCCAAACGTCAGCCTCGAAACCTTAATGACTTGGAGAAGATCTGCAAAGAGGAGTGGGACAAAATCCCTCCTGAGATGTGTGCAAACCTGGTGGCCAACTACAAGAAACGTCTGACCTCTGTGATTGCCAACAAGGGTTTTCCCACCAAGTACTAAGTCATGTTTTGCAGAGGGGTCAAATACTTATTTCCCTCATTAAAATGCAAATCAATTTATAACATTTTTGACATGCGTTTTTCTGGATTTTTTTGTTGTTACGGTCTCTCACTGTTCAAATAAACCTACCATTAAAATTATAGACTGATCATTTCTTTGTCAGTGGGCAAACGTACAAAATCAGCAGGGGATCAAATACTTTTTTCCCTCACTGTATGTATGTATGTGTGGATGTGTGTGTATATATATGTATATGTGTGTTTTTCAGATTATTATTATTTTTACTCAAACCACCCGCAGGCTGGATT